GGTCTGTTAAATCGATAAGACTGGCTCTGTAGACATTGATATAGAGCCAGGCGTTTGGACCAGCCGCACCCGCACTGGTATTAATCAGAATGTTCCATGCGGAGCTCATAAATCGGAGAATCACAACATTTCTAATAAAGTGTGCCTTCCGGGCACACAATCATATTGTGCGCGCTGGGAGGTTCCCGCCTCCTGAGAAGCACGAGAATTAAAGCAGTGCAAAGATTAGACCACCAGTGTGTTCTTAGATCCTCGGCAATTCATCGTGTACAACAGGGCCCCCATACCGCCATATTTCTAGTACCCTCTAGCATTCGTATCGTATCATGCACACACCACGACGAGCGAGTTCGCTCTCGTTTAAGCCGCGCCTGACTCCGAGCATCACAGGACTCAAGCCACCGCAGGACTCAAGCCACCGCGGGACTCAAACCACCGTAGGACTCAAGCCACCGCAGGACTCAAGCCACCGCAGGACTCAAGCCACCGCGGGACTCAAACCACCGTAGGACTCAAGCCACCGCGGGACTCAAGCCACCGCAGGACTCAAGCCACCGCAGGACTCAAGCCACCGCAGGACTCAGGCCACCGCAGGACTCAGGCCACCGCGGACTCAGGCCACCGTGGGACTCAAGCCACCGTAGGACTCAAGCCACCGCAAGACTCAAGCCACCGCGGGACTCAGGCCACCGCAGGGACTCAAGCCACCGCAGGACTCAAGCCACCGCAGGACTCAAGCCACCGCGGGACTCAAGCCGCCGCAGGACTCAAGCCACCGCTGGACTCAAGCCACCGCGGGACTCAAGCCACCGCAGGACTCAAGCCACCGCGGGACTCAAGCCGCCGCAGGACTCAAGCCACCGCAGGACTCAAGCCACCGCAGGACTCAAGCCACCGCAGGACTCAGGCCACCGCAGGACTCAGGCCACCGCAGGACGCAGGCCACCGCAGGACTCAAGCCACCGTAGGACTCAAACCGCCGTAGTACTCAAACCACCACAGGGTTCAAGCCACCGCGTGACTCAAACCGCCGTAGTACTCAAACCACGGCAGGACTCAAATTACCGCAGGATTTAAACCACCGCAGCAGTCGGCGGACCCCACAGCTCCGCGCGCCGCCGAGCCCCGCCTGGCGCGGCCCTGCGTGAAGCGTCGCGCGTGACGTCCGGTCGGGCACGCGTAGCGCACCCGGTGAAATGTTAGTCAGCTGAGCTTGAGTCAGCTAGCTGAGCCTGTTGCCGGTCGGCTGCCAGCGCCGGACGTCTGGCCGCGGCGGCCAACTGACCACCGACGGCCGCGGGCCGCGTCGGGGCGCGAGGCGGCCGCCGTCGGCGCCGGCGTGGACCGGGCGCGGGCGGCGCCAGTTCGGCCAGCCCCCGGCCGGTACCGTCCGGCGACGCTGGGCCATCGGGCACACGGAATGGGCGCGGGTCACGCTCGCCGGCCCGGCATCGACCTGTGGCACCGCGGCGCGCCGGGGCCGATCATCAGCCCCGGCCGCTCGCCGCTCCAGCACTGGCGCCGCTTTTACACGCCACCTGGCGCACCGCTGCTGGTGGGGCCGCGCTATGACCGCCAAGTATGAAGGCGCTGGCAGAGCCGTGCCCCGGTTGGTTGCGTAGCCAGGATTTTACCCAGGAGAGAAATCGGAGCATAGGGGAAGGCCTATCAACCAGGGAGACCCCACGTTCTCGTTGCAGGGGTCCCGTTTTTTTATTCGGGGACCTATTTGACTCGAGGTCCCATTTCGATGCTTCGAGGGCTCCTTTTTTACGTTTCCGAAACCCAAAAGACGTCTTTAACTGCCAAACGTTACCGGAAAGTTTGAACTCTAGCGGAGGGCAGCGGGGAGAGTGGGATGGGCCCCAAAAGCTCCCGCCTCCTGGCTGCGCCACTGACTCTGGTCACCCGCTAAATAGGTACGCACGGATCCCGTACACCGGCCACCAACCATGCGGAAAACAGACACCGACAGCTCCGTCTGGTTCAGTGCGCTGCGGCCAGCGGTGGCGGCCTGCACGCGTCCATGACTACAGCTGGCGGCGGTCAAGATGCTGTCATTCGGCGTCTGTTGATTCGCACTCAGAGCGCCCTCTCCCCGTCCCCTCCCCCTTCCTTCCCCACCCCGCTGCCAACACAACCTGTGATCAGCACCCGCGCGCAGCCCTGCGGTTAACACCGACGGGTTCGCGGAGCGGGGACAGATGGTGTCCGGGTCATCCTTGCGGCGGTGGCAAGAGTCCTTCAGCCCGCGGGGAGGTCGTTGTTGCAGGCTCAAACTTAAAACTTACGAATTTGCTACGTTAGTGCTGTTATTGGTGCTCATTGCACTTTTGAGTTATTCATCGCTATAAGCAATTGTGCGGTATTTGATGCATGCTCTCTGACGTCGGCTGTTTTAACAAAGCCGATGAATCGCGCAATGCCATGCGCCGTTGTTCTTGTCGGTTAAACTGTTTCCGACAGAATAAATGGTCTCCCACCTCGAGAAGAGCAGCACCACGCTTCGGGTGTTGCTTTCGAAGACATTCACTGACGTCAGGTCTCTGACCACGCCAACTCACCGACACCACTAACCAGTTTCATGACGAGGAGTGACTACTTATTTCTGCCTGGCCGAAGAAATTTCGGCATAATTTCCCGCTTCTTATGCCGGTTTTTTAAACCTGGCAGCACCCCTCCCATGGTCACTCAATCCATAGGCTACGGGAACCTGGCAACCAGTGACGCACTCGGGTGGGACTAGATTTCCTACTGGATACGGCACCTCATCGGCTAGATTACTGGACTAATGCAGCCTTCCTCAATAGCATGCCCTCCTACGAAAAAGCAACGTCAAAAAATCAAAGAACGTAGCTCAAGCTGTAAGATACTTACCAACTTTTGCTATATACATATGTATATATATATATATATATATATATATATATATGTAAATATATATATATGTATGCCTATATATGTATATATATATATATATATATATATATATATATATATATGTATATATTCACATAGCGATGCTAAACGAGAGTGATTTAGTAGACACTACCATTGTGTGCCAAACATCAGTGGGGCTGAAATGTTTGGCATGCAATGGTAATGTCTGAAATTAATACATGTATAGAATCCATTGTTGTTGCCTTCGTAGTTATGAGTCTCCACAAGCTTGTGGCACGGCACAATTTCGCGAAATAAAGTTTAAGACGTACAAAAGCGTTATTTTGATCTGATTCGCAAGCTAAAAGAATTCCTGCGCAGCATCGTGCTACGGTGCACCGCGAAACAAGAATATGGCGGCCACCGCCTCACTATTATGTTTCAATGACACCAGACAAGACGCGCAGTACGGCATGGTTTCGTGCCTGCCGACATAAAGAGCCTTCTCAAAATCATAAGTGCCATGGTTTGTTCGAGCCTTTTTATTACAAAAAGTTTTGAACGTGATTTAAAACTTATTTCATTCCGCGAAGGCCCCAGACTGAATCTGTGCGTGCAAGCCTTCGTGAACAACGCAAAAGGAAGTGATTTCGGTGGAGGTGCAAGCCCCCTGGGGCAGTTTAGGCGCTGAAGCGGGAGATGGCTATCCAGTCGGATGCGTGACTATAGTCTATGCGTGTTTATCGTTCGTGTGCTCTCAGGCTAATTAGGTCTCCACTGGCCGATGAGGATACTTACATGCGCCCCCCCCCCCCCTCCCCCTAAGATATTCTATGGATATCTTTCCAGCATGTGCAATCTTTCCCAAGTCTCTGCATCATCTGAGGCATTCATCACACTCGTTTGGATACAAAAATGTGTTCATTTCGTCCGGATTCTGAAAAGTGGTCTTTTTGGGAACCCTGCACGACAATCTTCGGCGGGCGGCGGGCGGCGGGCGGCGGGCGGCGGGCGGCGGGCGGCGGGCGGCGGGCGGCGGGCGGCGGGCGGGCGGCGGCGGGCGGGCGGCGGCGGGCGGCGGGCGGCGGGCGGGCGGCGGGCGTCAATCGACAAAGGCGCGTATAGCGGGCGGTGGGGACGTCAGCGAATATGTTAAAGGGGCCAGGCATAATAAATATCTGCTCAAAATACACCAAACTGCATGCCGATATGCTCAGAATGAAACAGGTGACATGTTTGTGCACCTTCTGAGGCAGGGCGGGACACATGGCCTCCCCTCCCCCCCCCCCCCATCAGTTTGCGTTATGAAAAACAACGAATCGTTGCAAGAGTTGAGCTCTTAATTAACGCTCAGACCAGAAGTGTAGTTTTCTAATCAGTTGGTAGGGCCTCAGTCCCGTTTCCCCCTCACACACTTCGAGAAAAATAAAAATATGGGGAGAAACCTTTAATTGGCATATTTTGGAGAGAAGAGGGTCATCTGTCACAGTACAGCTCCAAGTGATCTTGCAAAACTCCTCCGATTCAGACGTATGAATGGTGTACCCTGCTCACTCATAAAGACGCTAAAAATAGTGGCATGCGCCTGTTTGAAGTGTGGGTGGAAGTGATGGAATGTGATGTGATGATTTTGTGAGCTTTATCACGTCTGTCGGCGTCCTAGCAAGAACTAGAAATTTGGTCCCTCGTGTAATCCGTGACATGTGTGAAAGAGGTAGGCTTTCATACGGGCCTGGCACCTTCATCCAGCTCATCTATGATGACTGCTCATTTTATGGCGGGCCAGAGCATCTTTTTATTTTACTTCAGTTTCGGGATGAAGGTCTACCCCATGGTCAAATCAGCTGCGTTTATGAAACCAGATGGATGCCTGGTGAAGTACGGAGTAGCTCTTTACTTCGATGTCCCCAAGACTAGTAGAATAGTAGAATCTAGTAGAAAACTAGTAGAATCTGACGGGCGTTAGAGTATCAAGTTACTCCTCACTTTATGCAGCCGGATTCGAAATAAAAGCTTGGGAAGTTATCCCTTGCGCCACAACTGTATGCCATCCTCTCTTTATAAAACGGGCCAGAGTTCTCCGGTCGTTGCTTTTCCGTCTCCGCTGTGCCGTGACTCACTGCGCGTTGTCCCGGCGCTGTCGGGGCTCGCCGTCGTGCCGTTCCTGCGGACGTCCCGGCAGCCCCGCCACAGCCCGGTGTGGGACGTCAACAGCATGAGGTCCGGACTGCGCTCGGCGCTGCCGTTGACGCCGGCCAGGCTGCTGCCGTTGACGCCGGCCGGGCTGCTGCCGTTGACGCCGGCCAGGTTGCTGCCGTTGATGGCGGCTCCCCCCGCACACGTCACCGAGAACCTGCGACGACGGCCATCGGTGACGTCACACTCGTGTGGTTGGTCCGACGCTGCGGTCGGCCGGCTGCGGGTGACGTCACCGAGAACCTGCGGCGGCGGCTATCAGTGACGTCGCGCTCGTGCGGTTGGTCCGATGTCGTGGTCGGCTGGCTGCAGGTGGCGGCGACGCGAAGCAACAGGTTAAATGAGCCAGGCTAGCGGTTGAGACAGGCAAGGGAGTCTGCTTACAAACCGTGGAAGCGCCAGTCAGTTCACGCCGACATCCATTCGCCGCTCCACCGAGAATGAAGGGGTCTCCTGAGTACTTAGTGGAGTGCTTATGAGTGCTCAGTGGAAATGGATTGCGAAGACACTCACCGGCATTCGGAGGTACGCGCCAGTGCACAGAGTCACCAGCATTCGGAGGCTGTATCAGTATTCGGAGATAGCCACCAGCGCTCGGAGACATCCATTAATACTTGGAGATACTCCCCAGCACCCGGAGGGACCCCGCACACTGGGAGGCACTCGCCAGCACTAGGAGGCCTTCGCCAGAGCTCGAACGCGGCTGAAGACACTCGCCAGCCCTCAGAGGCACTCAGGGACACTCGCAGGTACTCACCAGTACTCTGTGGAGATCGTAATGACCCAGAGCAGGAGTCCAAGTACGACGGAGACTGTGCAGCCCATGAGAACCCGGCGCTCCATCACAGCCACCTTGGCGGCCTGCGCGCTGTCCAGCCGGGCGCCTCCGCCGCGCATACTCATGGTGACGGATCTGGGAGACGACGCGGCGCGCCAGAGTCACCGGTCACCCGCAGGTCCTGGAGGCAGGGTCAACGGTCAGACGCGTCGGGGGTCGGGGTTCGCCTGGGGCCTGGCAACGGGTCGGAGGTCAGATGAGTTGGGGTCAGGGGTCACCCGCAGATCTCAAGACCAAGGTCAGAGGTCAGACGGGATGGGTCAGAGGTCACCCGCAGGTCCCGGGAACAGGGTCAGGGGTCAGACGGATGGGTCTGATGTCACCCGCAGGTCCCGGGGACAGGGTCAGGGGTCAGACGGGCTGGAGTCAGGGGTTACCAGCAGGTCTTGGAGACAGGTGCAGAGACCAGATACCCCTTATTATAGGGACCACTTCGGAGCAGGGGTGCTATCACGAGGAAACTATTGCCGGGCCCATTGGTCCGGCAAAGCTCTTCGCTCAGAGTGCTGATCTGAAGGGTAATCTGTACAATCCAGACTGCGATGTAATTACAATTTGAATAATAAATGCGCCTGGCTGTGTCGGGACGTGTCGCTGTCATGTTACTGCTATGCCTCGTCAAGTCAAGTCAAGTCTCTGCCGTATCGCGCTGTGCCGTGCCGTGCCGTGCCGTGTGCGTGGCCGGCACGGCACGGCACGGCACGGCACGGCACAGTGCGATACGGCCGGCGTCGGCGTGGCCGGACTCGCCGCGTTCCTCGGACCTCCCTGCGGAGCTCCGGGCCGGCGGCCACTCCGCTGACCCTGCAGCGCCAGCACGCTGTCCGTGTTGCTGTTGGCACCGCTCCTGGCGGAATGCTGGTCCCATTGCCAGTGGGCCGGGCCAGTCCGCTATTTATCCTTGGGTGCGGCCACCCGATGCGCAACTTCATGAACTGCACTTCACGGCAAGCGCTTTGCGCGAGTGAGCGCGAGCCACAGGCCGACTGTAAGGGCGTTGCTCGCATTCCTGCTTCGTCTCACGATGACGTGGATGTTCAGTGAAGCGAGGGGATTTTTTATTGATGCAGGGAATTGTTTACGTTGCTCGCATTGCTGCTCCGTCTAACGATGACGTCAATGTTCGCTAAAGTGAGGGGCTTTTTGATTGGTGGAGGGAAGTGTTTGCGGTGTACGGATCGGTGCAGATGCGGCTGTTCGTCTGTTCGAATGTTAGCATGTGACGCCAGCGACAGACGGGCAAGCCACCGCAACGCCACTCTTTGACTGGAGGAGTTGCTGACGTGAAAGCAAGCGTAATGTCCCAGCAAAGCCGATCGCGCTACATGACCAAACAGTGACAGTCGTCACCTACTCACACACGTGATCCGTTTGGTCGTAGGGTGTCCCGAGTCCTAGCCGGAAACGTCCTGCTGCACGGAGCCAGGCGCCTGACAACCCCCACCACTGAAACGCGTCGCACCCCATCGACAGCGCTTGAAATGAGCCACGCCAGTTTATTATTGCTGCGTGTGGGGAGATATATGCATTGGCAGAGGTCCATGCCGGGTGCCTCAGAAGGGTTCCAACGGTCTGAATGATTTATAGTGCCTGGACGCAGAGCTTAAGCTGTTTCGTTAGAGCCACTTACGAAGTAATCACCGGCCTGTCCGCGACCACTGGAGGTCCCCCGAGGACCGGTGGGGAGATCTGGCGTGCGGCGGCGGGACCAGCGGGTCAGCCCCCCCCCCCTCCCTCCCCCCGCGTCGGCCCGTGCTCGGTGACCCAAGGTCATGGTCTCGCTAATGCTCGCCCTGTCTGTGGATCGGATGTAACCGTCGGCGCTGGCTGATGCTTCGCTAAGTGATCAACAAACAAACAAACAGTCTAGGCACGGGCTCTGGGTGACGGTGGAGGTGGATGGCGGGTGAGGGTCTAAACAGGAGAGGGGAGGGGCAGATTCAGATGGGCAGGCCACAGTGATTCTATTGCTTCATCGCTGGCCTATTGTATTCGTCTATGGCGTGATAATGAAATCTGGCCACATTCTGGGACTTTTGTGTCCTTTTACTCCCTGGTTGAGCACACCTTGTGAGCATAAATAAGACAGCACTAATAGCCTTATTCCTCTTAGAATAACCGGGAAAAATGAGAGATAGATGTGCTTTAGGATTATTCGTCGAGGAGTAGGGCTAATAGTATTGTCGTATTTATAGTTCATAACGTTCCTCACAAATGCCCTAACAAATTACACCCTATGAACAGTCAACAGACTGTCTTTTCCAACTCACTGATATCGAAGATCTCGCTACTGAACTCTGAGTCAGTCGTCTCTGCTACCACCGGCTTCGGATCAAGGCAGTTGGGGTCAAAGTCCTACCCCTACACGTGCGAGTTTCATATTAACCTAGACAAGACACACACTAACTTTAGAACCAGCTTCGGCCGGCCACTCATTCAGAGCCCTCCCGCTCCTGAGGGTGCCTCATCATCGTGCGCGGGTCGCCTGGGCCCTTTGAAGGACGGGATCACCATATGGGTGGTGCGACGACAGGGCCAGCGTCCCCCCCCCCCCCATCGACCCGCTCTCCCCGCATCGCTCGCTCGACAGCTGAGGTCAACACCTCCGTCGTCACACCGCGGCACGCCGCGCGTCCCACGCCAGCTGGAGGCAGTGATCCGTAAACACGCGTTGACGGGATGTTCCACATTTATTGAGTTTTTTGTATTTTGTAATGATTTGGTATTGAGGCCAGCATCAGATACAATGGAAAAAAGCTCACTCATAGTTAGTGACATGGTTATAAATCCAAAAGACTGCTCTAAACATCAAAATTTCACTATTTTGCAAATATGCTCCTCAATGCGTCATGGTCTGATTACGTCATGGAACGTTCTCATGACGTTAAAGTCGCTGCCAGACCAGCCATGTCAAAGCTGCCACTGCAGCCGATGGCGTGGCTCAGCCCCAACGAGTTACGTTGGCAGCACAACCGCACCACGACGTACTTTCGTTACTAGTCACGAGGTTCACGTCTAAAAGACCTGCTTTTCAAGGAGCTGTAAACGGAATTCCTATCACGCCATTTTCAATCAGTACGGGACCAAAAAAAAATGTTTGTTTCCTTATGTCGCGCCGATCCTATGACCATTTTTGTCTAGACGAGCCAAAGTCTGACGAGCGAGCCAAAGCATCGGATCAAAGAAGCATCGAACCAAAGCATCGGACGAGCCAACGCATCGGATCAAAGTTATGATGTACGGCGCGCCTACAAATTTTCTGTCTTTCGGGACATGCTCCATGGTCTGTCTGCGTTCGAGGCCGGAGCGGGCCAGAATTGTTCTATCAGCTCCCTATGAAGTGTGTTGAATTGTTTGTTTGCAGTCGATACACGTTATGAGTGTAATTTTGTGTACAATTCCATCAGTTTCTTGCAAACCATCTGTTTAAATCAAAAATAGTTGATGTAAACTTGAGTTCTAGCCTACAATGCACATCAGGTGTACGTCCAACATCGTGTTGCAATTTATGCACTGAACTTCGCTCTTCCCGACATCCATCACCCTGGACGTGACAAACTTGTGGAACTTTTACGTGCCGCAATATGGCGCTGGTGCCTGTCTAAAGTTAAGTTACAAGCATTGTGTGCGTGCGTTTTGGCCCACCTTTGTGCCGTTCTTATATATTTTCACATAATGGCATGCATTTTATTTGCACTTGCATACTCGGTTACGGCGCTATTTTTAAGTTATTTTATTATCAGCCTCACGTCCGCCAGAAGAACTTAAAGACAAAACGTCTATTATCTTTTACAAAAAGCAGTTGGTGATAGAGACAAGAAATGACACGAATATTCCAGTGGCCATATTTGCCTTAACCATGAACACAATACAGCTAATGAAGAGGAGCTATTCGCGTGACGTTTTTATGACGTCACAAAGATCTTGGTGGCTTTTAAAAATGCGGTGGGAAATAGGCTGCACAAGTTGGTGTGCATCAAGCTCAGCAACAAGAGGGTTTCAAGCGTTAAAAAGTGCATGGTCGTGAACTGCAGGGATAGATCTTGCAAATGCCCGTCTCAGTTTCAAAACGAATAAAAGGATATGACAGTCCCTTTCATATGAAGGCCGAACCCGAGCTTTTCACGGGCAAGTTACACAAGTGATGACAATAACTGTTTATCACATTCGGGCTCCTGCTTTGCTCAGGGGGTAGTTTTCTATTCAGTTGGGGTGGGGTAGGGGGGGGGGCTCTCCCACAAACTTTGAGAAAAAAGTGAGGTGAATCCGCAGAAAACCCTGTTTGTTGGTGCATTTTGGTGTAGGTTTCTTCATTTTTTACTGTCCAGTCCGCTTCCCACAACTTATTTTGTGACACTACATCCCTGGTTCTGCTTTGGGCAGGTTTTTATATAGCTGAATAGCACAATCATAATTGGGTGACTTTCCGACTCCTAGTCGATATATCGTGCACATTTCTTCCCTTTAAACGAGTTTTGATGTTTCCAGTGGGGTAGCCAAGTGTAACTTTTGGAACCAGGCTCACCCGTCCAGGGGGGGGGGGGAAGGTAAGCGCCCCAAGGCCTACAACTTGACCGTGGAACGCGTGCACGCTTCATGGCGATAAAACGGGCCGTCGGTATCAAAATAGCAAGGTGAGCCTTAAAGGGAATGTTCCACATTTGAAGATATATGGACGCAAACATCAAATATGATGAAATAAGCCACTTATAATTACTGTTATAGTTTTAAGCCGAAAATCTCTTCACAAAAGAAAGACAACATAATTTCTCCTTTTAGTAAATATGCACCTCAATGCGTCATTGTCTAATTACGTCATCGTACGTTGCATAACATTGATTAAGAGCCATTTGACGGCCCTTAAATCTGTAAATCGTGCTCACAAACGTCAGATATGAAAGACTCGACAATTATGTTTTCCTTGGCTTTGATCGCCGCATGGCAAACGGAATGGCACGATTTGAATGATATTCTTAGAGAGAGAGAGAGATTTATTGAGAAAAGCATGGATTCGAGTATCAGCTCATATAGCACATGTGCACAATGTACATATGAAGTAGGATTCAACTTAGTCGATAATACATCTATGTTAACGAGAGTGGCTATATGCGGGATGCTTGA